CCTCCACCAATTGAGCTAGCTCCATAGCCTCTTAGCTTCTTGTGGATCAATGTCAGTACTAATTTCCGCATCATTTCCCAAAATGGTGATCTCATTCCTCGTGTATGTATAAGATCGAATCCATTCAATTTCTAAAAAGGATTACTAATCCTAAACTTTTCGACAAGTCTCGAGGTCTCATTACTCTAACTACTGCCCGAATCTCTAGTATCAGTCCCTTCATGAAGTTCCCCTCTAGCATTGTCTTAGAAAGGCGGTCCTATCGGCTAGCAAGGTACTTGAACCTCTCCCGGTGTTTTATCACTGAACAATCCTGTGTCAAGGCGAAGAACTGCTCGTAGAAGTTGACCCTTGCCGGTTCGGAAATGTTCTTCCAAATAATTCTTGAACTCCCACCAAATCCGTATGGGTTGTCGCATGTTCGTCCATTGGTACCAAGCCAAAGCCTTCCCTTCCAAACATAAGCCCGCTGTTGTTAGTTTCTTCTCCTCCGTTAACCCATTGACGACAAAATATCTTTCAACCTTGTAGATCCACCCACAAGCATCCTCTCCCTCAAAGATTGACATCTTAAGTTTCATCACCCTTAGATCTCCTTTGTTCCCTCTGTTCCCTCTATAATTTCCCATTCCCCAAGGGGGTGGTTCTCCCCAAGTATCACAGTCATCCCTTCTATGCTCATACCCAAATCTTTCATCAAATTCTCACATTCTCCTTTCAAATTCAGCAGCCCTTAGATCATAATAAACTCATTCCCTTTCAAATTCAGCCCCCCTTCGGTCATAATTTCTTCAAATTCAGCACGTCTTCGTTCTTGCCCTACCTCCTCACACTTCTCACCATACCCTCTACCCGGCTCTTTCCTAGAAAATAGGCTCTAGGGAAGGTATTCTCTCTTCTCTCTTTTGAGTTTCGACCTCCTGATCTTCCCTTTGACTTATTGGCTTAGAGTTTTCTCCACTTTCCTGGCTGTCAGTGACTTCCCTCGTCTTCGACGACATTTTTTTATTTTTTCCCTCGAGCACTTTCTTTAACATCTCCCTTAAGCCCATATCTTTTTTGCTTTAGTTATGGATGTCCTCACTAGACATTTGCAAGAGCATGTACCTTGGTGTATGTTTTTTGTTGATGATATTCTTCTTGTTGATAAGACTAGAGACGGGGTTGAATGTAAACTTGAATTATAGAGGTCAACATTAGAGTTTAAAGGTTTTCACTTGGTAAATCTAAAATTGAGTATATGGAGTGTAAATGTGTAATTTTAGTAGTAATAGACCTAGTGAGGGGATTGTGACTTTGAGCGATCAAGTCATTAATAAGAGTACACATTTTAGAAATCTTGGATCTATTGTTTAGAGTGATGGTGAAATATATCGGGATATTATCGACATATTTCAAGTTGGATGGTTGAAGTGGAGGAATGCATCGGGTTTGTTATGTGATAAAAAATATAAAGCGCCAGTGGAAGATAAAATTAGATAGAGTTGCCTTAGATGGTTTGGTCACATAAAACGGCGGCCTTCCGATGACCCAGTTAGGTTAGTAAAGTAGAGGTTTTAGATTTGACTTATGTTAAGTAAGATAGAGGTAGACATAAAAAGACTTGGTTAGAAAATATTAGAAATGATATTTCTTTATTAGATTTAAACGAGAATTTGACCTTTAACAGGACACAATTGAGAAAAGGATTCGTGTAGTCGACCCCACGTAGTGGGACAAAGGCTTGATGTTGTTGTTCTTGTTGATCTTATTATGGATTACTAAAATTTCTTTCTTTAAATCTGAAACTTAAGTTTGTAAATCTGAAATATCAGATTTCATTTGTCCGATCTCCCCTTCGAGACGTTCCTCCAACACATCCACTTTCTTGGCCGCCATCGATACCCGGATTTTTGTTAGAATAAAAATCTGAATCTCGATTCCAAAAAACAACAAACCTGTCTTCCTCTGGCCCATAAACAGCCGTTGTAATTCACATAAACATCCCCAAAAGGTCCCAAAATTTTCTTTCATATCAATTTGTTAGGAAACACTTGAAGATTTCAAGTAAAACCTAACACTATTGGTAAAAATAGCAAAAACATTCTAGAACTCCAATGGAAAACAACAAAAACAGTAATTTTATTGCAAGAAATCAAATAGAATGGAAAGAAAATATCAAGATACAATTGATCCTCTATTCAAGAGGAGGATCTATCTCTCCCCCAAATCTCTAGACGCCGCTAAAGGCCAAAAACCTAAACTTAAGAGAGACAAATTTCAGCCAAATTCAAGATGCCCTAACCCTAGGAAAATAAACTATTTAATGCATACAATTTAAAAGGAAATCTCTAAACAATCCCTACATTCAAATTTCCCTCCCGACTCCCTCAAAAAATCTTTCTAAACGGCTCGGGTGATGTGGGCGGTGTGCACGGCTCGTATAGGAGGCGGAAGATTTTCGCCTTTGTTATGCGTGAGCCAGTCCCGTGTGGACGGGTTGGACCGGTTCAATGGACTGGTCTAACACATTATTATCATCATTAGTCTTATTCTAGCTATTTTTAATATATTTATGAATTATCATTCTCCATCATTCCCGTTGAGTATCCACATCGCTTTTGATTTTATTGTAACAAAAGATTCCCCTTTGATGTGGAGAAGACTCATATCAATAATTATGATCTTACATATGGACAATTCTTCAATATATTGTCCATTCGAAACAAAGTCTTTTCTTTGTGCATCAGTAAGAAAATATATCTTTTTTTGAGAGAGAAACTATTTCACCAATCGAGTCACAAGTATCTGACATCTTCATACATAACGATTTGTTTTTCTCATATTCATACTTAAGGTGCTAAATTTGTTTTGCTCATATCCATTTGCATAACTTCTACCCACCATTTCTTTGCTTTACTCTTTTTTTAATATATTCACATTTAACACTATCGTTGCCAGGTCCCAAGTCCTTGATGAGAAAAGTGGTGGGTTGCGTTAGGTAGTCGACAACCAGCGTAAAACTTGTCGAATAATAATGACATGAATCCTTTAAGAAATTTTGGATATGAGTCTAAATTAAATTTTTGGAATGACTTAGAAGAATTATTACAAAAGATACCTATAGAAGAAAGAGTTTTTATTGGAAGAGATTTAAATGGACATGTTGGTAGAGAGATAGATGATTTTAAAAGCACTCATGGTGGCTATGGTTTTGGAACAACAAATGAAGGTGGCAAGACCATATTAGATTTTTGTTTAGCTTATGATTTTCAATTGCTAATACCTTATTTAAGAAAATTTATCGGTTAGGAGAGTAGAGGTATTAGATTTGATTTATGTTAAGAAAGGTAGAGACAAACCTAAAAAGACTTGGTTAGAAAATATTAGGAATGACTTTTCTTTATTAGATTTAAACGAGAATTTGACCTTTAATAGGACACAATAAAGAAAAAGAATTCATGTAGCCCACCCCACGTAGTGGGATAAAGACTTGATGTTGTTGTTGTTGTTGTTGTTTTTGCATTTTAAACCCCTTATTTTTTGGTACTATGTTATATTTAATTGGGGCAACTATCATGGTCTCTCATATAAATATTTCTTAATCTGTCAATCCTAGTTTTGTTATATATCTATCTTTTTTTTAACAATGTCATTTTCCTAACATTTAATTCCATATAATATAGCTAGTGTAATCATAGTTTTCGAAAAATTGTCTTTAATTTTATAATGTTCTTATATTGCATGGTATCTTAAGACACGTCATTTTAATCACATAATTTGAGCACTATTTTTTAATCTTATTTATGTTGCCATTCTTTTATAGAATTGACTTCATTTAAATTTATCACATCTAACTTTTACTTATAATATTTAGTCATAAATATCAGTTTTACACTCACTAAAAAAGCATACGATATTGTCGGCATTTAGTTTATTAATGTCAAGTGTCTTATCTTTATAATTATTTTCTCCACCATTTTAAATTTCTACTTATTTCAACAATGATCTCATCGATTATGATAATAGCATGTAATGAGGTGCCCAGTTTGAACATCAGTCTTTCTAGCATTGTTATCTAATAGTTACTACTCTTATTCTAAGATATTATTTTTCAATTAATTCTTTATAATTTTTACAAATATCCATCATAACATTCTCACCTTTGCCACACCCACCGCACACCCAATATAGTTTTTGTGAATTATTTGTTATCCAATAGTTGGACCCCTTGAATTATTCAGGTTTCATTTGGGACAACTTTCTTGCAGCTTCTTAAAGTATTTTTTTAGTGCAAAATTTTTAATTTTTGTACTAGAAAGCTGATTTAAGAAGCAGCAAAAAAGTTGTCCCAAATGAAATCTCAGTCTAATGATTTTTTTTAGATATAGCCCATTTTAAGTTCTTAAGTTATTTTTATTGTATAGTACTAGTACTCCTTGGTCATTTCTCAATTATTGTTGATGAGCTTTAACAAGAAGTTATCTTTATCTATCTATATTCCCTTTTTGTAATTGATGCGAGATACTTAGGCTTATCAAAGTAGCATCACTTGTCCTCTGGCATAATTGACTGATGAGTGATGACTATCAGTTTTCACGTCCGCTAATTTTGGCTTTGTTTGGGACAGCTTTTTTATTGTTTTATGAAGTAATTTTTTTTACTAAAAATTGAAATTTAATATATTTTTTACTAAGAAATTGCTTCATAAAGCAGTAAGTAAGTTGTCTCAAACGAAACCTTTGTAACATGCTACCATCCAAATTCTTTCTTTCTAAGCTACACATCTCATCAATTTCACTTGTATGCTTTTAGGACAATGGCAAACCTTTCTTCCTACATGCTAAACCGCATAGCAAAAACTTCCAAAATGATTGATTAACCAAGCACAATTAAGTTTCGATCTGTTTGTATTAAGAAGGGTATCTCTCAATTTTCTTCCATCTTGTTATTTATAACCTGCAGCTGTTATGCGATCAAGTGGGTTTGAATATCTAAAAGAGAATTGCCCCTCGCTGCAGTCGGAGCTTCTGAAGATCATTGCCGGGTGTGAAGAGGAATGCAGCAGCGGCGGCAAAAGCCGGAGCGTTTGGGCCCAGCTATCCGATGGCGGCGATTCGAATGGTCGGAGGGTAAGGCAACGAACTTGAAACATATAAAACTGGTCCTCTTCTTCTCCTCCTCCGGCGAGAGAGCATTTGTGTCAAAGTGATTGAATCTGGTTGCTGGATGACTGGGGCATAGCTTTATAGTCTATTGTATCTGTAGCTTTTTTCTTGTGGATAATGGAGTGAGTTGATAAAAATACTATAGGCCTTCCTGTAGCTGTTGACATGAAGATTTGCTAGTAATAGGGACAATACTGAACATGGAAGCATGAAAGTTGTATTGTAGCATAATCAAATGTACTTCTGCTTATCTACCATGAGTAGGCGAATCGCCGAATCCTTCCCGACGTCGTCGATGCCTTATGGGAGTAGGAATAGTTCTCATTGAATTTAGTTGGCACCGACTCAGAAATCATTTATTGTCATCCAAGTTGCAGCCGCTTTGAATTGTGGGGGTTTGTTTTTCTTGTTTTTTCCTCATGGAGCTATGCATTGTTGAAGACTTGAGAGCGTCTCCAGCTGAACGTCTAATGCTCGTTTGGCGTCGCTGATTTGCTCCATCCGATTGTCTAATAAAATGTCATTCGTGTGAGGATGAACAGTACGATACCGATATTGGCTATTTAGGAATTAGGATAGCTGACTTAGCTTTTTAGAGAATTTTTTTACCGCCCCTTTTTATGGATTTTTAGAATTTTTTTTTTCTTATCATCGGGGAACATACAGGCTCTATTTTTAGGAATTTTTTATGAGAAGCTATTTCTTATAGATAGGTTGTTGTAAGAAAGGTATTTTATTTTTTAAATTAAAAAAAATTATTAGACCCATAATTGTTTCAGAAATTTTATTTTTTAATAAAAGATCTATAATTATTTAATTTTCCTAAATGAAGTCTTAGGCCTATTTGGAGCTATTAAAGTTTTTTTTTTATTTGAAGGTGGTTGTAAAGTTATTTTAGAGTTTTTTTTTTAATTGTTGTAGAAAATAATTTTTTATAAAAAATATTTTTAAAGTAGTGAAAAAATAATGATTAAAAAAAATTATGGTTGTGAGATAAAGAGCAAAGTAGTAAGAAATTTGTCTCAAATGAAATTATAATGTGAAAAAAATTATAGTAATATATTTTAATGCAAAATGTATTAAAATGAGATTGAAAATTATTTATATTATATTAATTTGAAGGAAAAATAAAATGACATTAATGCTCTGTTAAATTTTTCCAGTGATGAGTACAAACAAAAATTTCCGCCATGACCATTAGCTCATGCAGTTTGTTGGGCGATTGTTGTGCTTCAGCCTTTGCTTATTGTTCATTGCTTGTTGGAGGTATGGGTGTCAATTAGGGTCAACGGGTCAGGTTCGGGTCAAATCCGGAACTGTCCCGACATTGTTCAGGTTAAACCGAATCCGACCCGTTTTTAAAAACAGGTCAGGTCAACCCGACCCGACATGAATGACCTGAAGTTGATCTAAAATTGCTAGTTTTCGGGTCAAAATCGGGTTAATCTTCGATTTTAGGGTCAAAATCTGGTAAAAAAAACTTGAGCAATAAATAGCATTTGACATTTTTTTCCTAAATGTGGATAAGTTTATGATGGATTTAAAATAATAATAATAAATAAATAAATAAAATTTTTATTAAAAAAAAAACACTTTATTCTTTCATTGATCATATGAGTGAAAGACAGAGTACAAGTGGAAACACAAGAACCGTCCCTGTGGCCCAACGATGTGTATATTTCAATCCCACATGAGCGGCTGGAAGATTTGAAGGCCCCTCAAATGATAGTTCAATCTCAAATAAATTAATGATTTTTATATTAGGAAAATATATTTAGATATTTGTGCTCTTAGTGCATTAGTTAGAAATAATACGCTCAGTTCGCCCAATAGATTAATAAATAAATTGAGACCAATATAAAACATTTTTTTTTATAAGACAAATTTTATTCCAACAAAAAAAGAGGAGTACATCAAGCTTAAAAACGGAACGAAAAAAAGCTACAGAGATACCATCAGGCTCAGTATTTTGCAGAGGCTTCGAACTACTCCAAAATCAGGCACGAGCCATCCACTTTGGAGTGAGAACTATAAATTGCATCCGCAAATAATAAATTAAACTTCAACGAAAAGGCAACCACCATAGATAAACCATAGAGCCTTCCAACCAATGCAGCTCATAGCCACCTCCCAAAGGAGAGAAACAGAAGAATGATCCAAAACACCACAACCACTATGAAACCAATAAGCATAGAGAAGAGCCAAAGGCAACCGAAACCAGCATCACAATCCCAAAATTATTTCCTACCACGTCTACTCCTCCCCACGAGAGGAAATAGAAACACCAAGCCGGTCATTCTGCAAGGAAAAATTATCCCTAGGTTCTTCCTCCTCACTTGACTCTGAAGATGAATTGGACAAACATTAAAGCCAATCTATTTGCATTCTCACACTCTCCCCCGAATTGACACCCACATGTGAAAGCAACGCGTCAGGTGATATTAAACTAACAGGAACCTCAACAAAAGTGCAAAATACTTGAACAGTAGGCGTCACAAGGGAAATAACATAAGGGACAACCAAACAAGCAGAGACCTCATCGGCTGGGAGAGCAGACACAGCCAAAACATCAAAAATTTAGGCTAGATACAGAATGAAACAGGGGCCCCTCCCTCCAAAACAGAGACCTCATCAGCTGGATCACGTTTGAGGGTGGTGGGCAATAAGGGCCCCTCCCTCCAAAATCTCAACAGAGTCCAACTGGACTAAATTAACAAGACTAACCTCCTCACACACCACGCCATTCTCAACCAGAACAGGAGAGACAATATCAGAAGAAACAAAGGCAGGGGCAATAGATGGCACATGTAATTCACAACAGACTCATTTCCTTCAACCGGAACCACAATAATAGACAGGTTTTCCACCAGGTCACCAACCCCCAACGAATTAGATGGAGGAGGCAAGGTAGCTGAAACAAGATTAGGGTGAAGAATCCTATACCCAACCTTTGAATGTCTTAAAGTCATACACTGCGCACAATAGTCAGGAAAATCTTCAAAAATCACAGATTGAACATAACCAGTGCTATCCTATTTTGTTCGGGTACTGTTTGGACACATCCAGTTCAACCAAAATGCACGCAACCGACGAACGTGAGCCAATGGAAGTAGCATTATTAGTTTTCAACGGTTTGCCAAAAATTGATCCTAAACCATGAAGAATACGTGAGGCAAACAAGTGATGCCGGAGGTTAGGGAAAAAAATTCAGATAGGTATAACTGGTGATTCGATCTCAATATCCAAGTTAGGAGACCATTTAATCAATTTCATATAACAATTACTCACAAAATATGACATATGAGCAAAGTCCCTACAATAATCCCAAGTCGTTAAAGAGCTTAATCAACACGTTACGCTGATTCAGGACAGTGACTGAGACTTTACCATTAAGCTTAAGCTTGAAAAAAAAGAAACTCCTAATTGCATCAAGGGAAGGTCTACGCCCATAAAATTTACCAACCAGAGAAAATTCGAACGGAGCAGACAACGACTGGATTTCCGCCTCGGAAATCCACAGAGCAGGTAAACCTCTATGCGAGGAAACCCTAAGTTCAGGAAAAGGAGCGGAAGAAGGTGAAAAACCAGAAAGAGTGTCCTTAAAAGAAAGGGAGGATGATCCAACCAAAAAACCATGATCACGAAAAAGAGAAGGCGTCATAAAACCATAAAAAAGGAAAACAATGCTGAAGAGCAGAAATATAAGGAGAAGAAAAACTTCCCTGAAGCTCAAGAGGAGAAACACCCAACACCGAGCAGCCGGAAGGGGCGGCTAGGGCGAAACCCTAGCGCACCACTGAGAGCTAAAGATGAACCTCATCAGGGAATATATGATGATATAATGATGAATACTGAGACCAATATAAAACATATTTCACAACTTAGGCTTCATTTAGGACGACTTTCTTACTACTTTTTAAAACAGCTAGCTTTTTAATATATAAATTAAAACTTTTGTATTAAAAAGCTGTTTTAAGAATTAGTAAGAAAGCCGTCCCAAATGAAGCCTTAATTAGGCCAATACTAACTCTGCCCTAATACTCTTTTAAATTTTAAAGATATGTAATTATTGAATTTATTTTTATATTATTGCAATAGAAATTTTCCATAGATAATATAATTTTAAAATTTATTGGTTTTAGATTAGTGCGAATGATAAATAATTAATTATGAGGGTGATAATTAAAGAAGATTAGTGTGCTATAATATATTGAAGTAAGATATTTTCAGTATGAAGAAAGAGGGTTAAGCATAATTAGAGAGGGATTGTTTCCATTATGATAAACAATTATGCTTATAATGGTTTGAGAAAATGAGGATTGATGAGAAAAAAATAGTGAAGATTTATGTGAGGTTGAAGTAAATTAATTAATTCAAATTAAAAATCATTATGTAGTTTTCATTTTTATGAGCCTCAGGTTTAGTTTGGGTTGGGTTTCTTAATGCTTTCTAAATTAGCTTTTTAGTAAAAAATCTCTTTAAAGCAGGAGAAAAACAGTGGTGTAAAGCTGTGCCAAATGAAGCCTTAATGAGAAGAGGAAATTTTCTCTCTTTATGAGGGAGTATTTACACTTGGAGAGGGAAAGGGAGAAGGGAAGTTACAAAAACAATTTATTTTAAAAAAGAGAAAAAAAAATATCTCTCCAAAGAGAATGAGAGATAAATCTCCTAAAGTAGATTGACAATAAAAAAGATTTTTTTTTTCTTTCCTCTTAAGAGGTGTAGGAGGCGCCCTCCAAAATCATGCATACCAAAAGAGACTCATTCTGACATTGTTGAGGTCTTGTGGGCTATTGTTCAATTTTTGGACTCAATTTTAACATTTTTGGAGCCAAAAGAAACATATATGATCAAATTTAAGAAGATTTGAATATTCGAGCAATTTTTTTTTATAATTTTTAATCAAATTGATGCACCAACTTCTTCGAGAAAAAGCTTAAATTATAATTAAGGAGATTTTACTTGATTTACAACTTTAAAAATACTAAAAATAAAATCATTAGTTTATCTTTACTTTAAATTATAAGATCATTTAACCAAAAAATATTTATTTACAATAATTATGGTCACAATGGTCACAGTCATTATCATCATCAATACAATATCCCAAAATTGTAAAAATAATTAATATAAGACATATCTATTATATTTATCCTCACTTTTATCTACTCAACATTTTCCTTTCCTATTTCATGTCATGAATAAACACATAAAAAACAAACATGGGCAACACTTGCTTGGTATCCAGTATTTCCCTATTTCTCAATATAACAATATATATATAAAAAAAAGCATGTTATTTCATTATTATAATATAGATGAAAAGCTAGGTCATAATGATAGAATAAAGCATGTAGTAATTATAGAGCTTGTACAATATAACTCATATTAGCTATTGTACTATATTTCATTCAGTGTAAATAAAAATTTACTAAAAAGTTAGGTTTTAGATTTTAATAAAAAAATAATTGAAATAAACTAACACTTCAGTCCCCTCAAGCTTTTATATATATATATATATATATAATCCTCATCATCATATCACATCAATTCCCTTGGGCCCTTATATCTCCCAAGTATTTTACATTTATAGTGTGAGGCATTGATGTCGTTCTTGTAATTCATATTATAATATCAGATCTTTATGACTCACTGAGCATATATAGCACCATTCATTTATTCAGTTGATCATGCGCGCACTTATATCTCTCTAGTAATCATTTGCACATTTTCAATCACATTAACATAGAAACAACAATACTTTTAACATGTATAAACATCAATACATTCAACATATATAAATAATATATATTATACCACAAGAGTATACAGAGTATGCATAAAATGTCAGTAATGACTGACTTGTACTTTTCTCTTATTCCAATTTTCACACATTTTCAAGTATATGAATATATGAGTATAAGTAACTTCAACATGGATGAGTGATATCTAACATAATACATGAATATACAAATTTTCACATTTGTGATGAACAAAATAGCATTTTTGGAGAAATACTTGTACATAGAGTCAACATTTACAAATTATAAAAAACATGCATGAACAACATTCATAACATTATTTTAAAGCATTTATTATCCTATAGCCACTTCTATCAATGTCATTATACTCACCAAAATACTTAAAATTTTATGCAATTAAAAATACCTTGTAAAAATTTGATTTACCTATTGAAGTGTTCATAATTTCTATTATACAACATACAAAAAATTACATAGTAGAATGTTTTCTAAGCATCATTTAATAAAATAAAATAACAAAACTCTCACATAATTTACCCAAATTATAAATTGAGATAGAGTAATGGTAACCTACATCAATCCAAACAATATTCCTAACTGGCCCATTGGACAAAATCTAAATTAACTTTATCTAGGATCTCTCTTCTTCTCTCTTAATCTACTACCTCCCTAAATGAAAGATGAATTTTTATAAATGGATTTGGATATTTAAAGACCTAATTTTGTTGCATTAGCTTTTTTAGAGTTGTAATGCTTCTAAGAGAAAAAAATTTCACAACAAGATCGAGAGCTTAGCGTCACAGCGCCACCCCTTCACAACGTCACAACACCGCCCCTTCTGATGCCCAATCTAATAGAGATGGTGGTGCTGCAACACCACCATTATAGCGCCATAATGCTCTAAGGAGAAAATTTTTACTTAATATTTTATTTTTAATTCAAATATAATCATATTTCATGATTAAATTAAATATATAAATAACTTTAAATATTTACTGTGATTCAATAAAATACAACACGAATTTGAAATTCTTATCAAGTTCAATTCAAGTTATCACTATAGAAGCAGTCATTACACATTCAACCTCCAATTTCAATAAATTTATAGTCGAGCTAAATGTCTTAACAAAATGAACACATCAACACCACAAATAATCCGATCTTATTCCAAATGAATCCAAATAGAAGTATATTTTAAAACTTTTGGATATTAATTGAATGACAAAATAATCTCTAAATCTTAAAAGTTGTAATCAAATTGAGTGCCTCAATGAGATGATTCTAGCGAGCTCATTACCATTCGATTTTAACATCATTAATGCACTCAAATATTAAATAAATGATACATGATAAAGAGGATTAATATGATCCATTCGATAAAGTGTCTTTTATTACAGTCAAATTTACTAAAATATCACTTTAAAAAAAATCTATAAATACAACCTTATTTTCTACTTGTAGAGAGGTATATGATTTGAGAGTGCTGAAAAATTCGATTGAATTTTTTTGATGATTATCGCCAATGTTTATCATCAATAATCACTGCTGTCGTCAGAATTTTATCATCTAATTATTATTACTTGACTATTAGCTTCACACCTTATGAGAATGTTATAATTATTCTTAATTATGTATAATCTAATTTCCTTTAATCGTAAAGAATATATCTTCAATTATATAGTGAATTATTAAAATTTTCCATATTCTTATACCTATATATTAATTCGTATATTATTTTATATCAAATATTAACAAAATATAAAATCGCAGTATTATTATTAAATATTATCTCTCTTTCCCAACTCTCACTCCATTTCCTCATCGCCACCACAGGAATAATCGCAAAAACCGGAGCCATGGCCGCCACCGCTGCCGCCACCGCTGCCGCCACCTCCCTCACTGCACCCCTCCTCCCCTTCTCCTCTTCTTCAACGCTTCAATTACTAGCTAGAAAGATTCCTTCCCCCCTCTCCCTAATCCCCAATCCACTCTCCGCTGCCTCTCCCCTTCTCTTTATACGCCGTACCAATTCCCTCCATCAACGTTGCTTCGGCGCTCGAGCGGAAGCCGATGAAGGCAGTGACAACGGGGCTGTAGTCGAACGTCATAACTTCGACTTCGACCTGTTCACGATCGGGGCAGGGAGTGGTGGGGTCCGTGCTTCGCGCTTCGCGGCGAACTATGGTGCCTCTGTTGCGATCTGCGAGCTTCCGTTTGCTACTATATCGTCTGACCTGGCTGGCGGAGTTGGTGGAACGTAAGTTGCTTTGCATTTATTGTTTTTTTTTTTCTTTTTTGGGTGGATTGAGAGGCGGGTTTGGTTCAAATTGCTTTCTTGGTTTAGTTTGCTCTTGCCTGGGATGAAGAGTGGGTTAATTTTCTTGTATGGAAAAGATGGTGTCTGTTAGATTGAGCAAAATTGCTTAAGGGAACCATGAAGACAGAAAGAAGACCTTTACTGTGTTCATTGAGATCTAATGTAGTCAAGAAAGTAGATGTAGAATTGAAAGGAATTGTTAGGGAGGAGTCTAACGATAAAGGAAATTTTACTTAGATAAGTGATGAATTGCTCGCAGTTATATTGAGTAATCACTTCCCCTCTCACCCATTACATTAGAGACCCCTAAAGTAAGCAGCTTCTTTGTACAGTTATCAATCCCAACCATTTAATTCATTTTGGATGGATGAGAATGATTCTAAATTTTTTCAAAATTACTTAGGCTTCAAAAAGCTAATCTCAACCATCCAAAGTTGCTTGGATGATTGGGATTGGTTATCATGATAATTGGGGATGATCACAGTTCAAGAATAGATGGAGGGGTCTCACATTAGGATTTTTTTTTTCCAGATGTTGGAATTATATGTATTGTATTTATCCATGGAATAATCTATGCATAAAGTCATATTTCTACTTATTATAATCAATATAATCTTTTTTTTTTTCTTTTTTAGCACAATAAAATGTTGTTAGGATTATGAGCTATTTAAGATACCGTGGCTCTATAAGTATTCTACAATTTGTGGGATGTGTCTCTTATAAAGTACTGATACTTCAAAAGTCTTTATGTTGCCTCTAATATATTCCAACATGTGTTCAGCACTCTTAAAATTGTGTTTGAGTTATTTCTTATCAAAATCATAGTTGGGTGCGGTCCTATTCATTACTAATTAGAGTTCACAAGATCCGGAATTTAATTTTGAATGTTTTTAGTTCAAATATTACCTCGAGATTCATGCTGATCATATGAATTTTTTAGAGATGTATCATGTCTAATTTTCTAAGTTACCCTTTTGATGTGAGGAGCAATTGAACTTGGGATTCCCACTTCATTTTTTGTCTATATGGGAATTCAAACATCCATTACTGATGATTCAGTGATACAGAAGTTTGATATGAACCAAACAAACATTAGAAAGTTAAAGTTGATTTTGTAACCACTGTTCTTGGGCTTTTTCTGTCTAGTTAGCCCACATAATTGGTTCATGTTGATAATTTTTCCTGCATTCTCTTTTTCTTTTGGGATACTCCTCGTCAACATTTTGATTTAATCTAACTTGTGTTAGAATCTATTAATTGCATAATTAGTATCCATTTTCAAAATTCTTTTGAGTAATATTAGTTTAGGAGACAATTTTGAGGTTGCTATAGTTTTATGTGAAGTATGCATTTTAACCCCTTGCAATGTAGATGCGTGCTTCGTGGATGTGTGCCAAAGAAATTGTTGGTTTATGCATCAAAGTTTTCTCATGAGTTTGAAGAGAGTCATGGCTTTGGATGGAATTATGAAGCTGACCCTAAGCATGATTGGAGTACTCTGATGGCCAATAAGACCGCAGAATTACACCGCCTGACTGGAATTTACAAAAATATTTTAAAGAATGCTGGGGTGACACTGATTGAGGGCCGTGGAAAGGTTGGATTTTTCTTAGATCAGATTGAAATTTAAGGCACATTTTTTGAATGACTTGCCTTAGCTGATACTTTAGTTCTGTTTTTTTGCTTTCTTTTCCAATGTTGTAGATTGTTGGTCCACATGAAGTTGATGTAAATGGTAAGCGATACTATGCAAGACACATACTCATATCTGTTGGCGCACGACCATCAATTCCAGACATTCCTGGAAAGGAGTTTGCTATCGACTCGGATGCTGCATTAGATCTGCCTTCAAAGCCTGAGAAGATTGCGATAGTTGGGGGAGGGTACATTGCATTGGAGTTCGCTGGCATCTTCAATGGTTTAAGGAGTGATGTCCATGTATTTATCAGGCAAAAGAAAGTTCTAAGAGGCTTTGATGAAGAGGTCTGGAAATTATCCAAAAGTTTAATTGTTGTTTATTTTACTTCAAATTCAACATAATTTTACCCTTTGAAAACCATGCAGATTAGAGATTTTGTTGGCGAGCAGATGTCGCTAAGGGGCATTGAGTTTCACACTGAAGAGTCACCTCAGGCTATTCTTAAATCAGCAGATGGTTTGCTATCATTGAAAACTAGCAAAGGAACCGTCGATGGTTTCTCTCATGTAATGTTTGCAACTGGTCGAAAGCCCAACACGAAGGTTAGTTCTCTCCATATGTTATTTTCTTTTTCTACTACACATCAAGATATCAAATTTCAGCATTTATTATTTTGTATTATATTGTAGAACTTGGGGTTAGAGGAAGCTGGTGTAAAATTGGACAAGAATGGAGCAATATTGGTAAAGTTTTCTACATCATTTTGATGTATTTGTAGATTGATTAATATTGTTATTGTAAAAGCATCAATGTTTATTCTGAATTCCTATTATGATTCTCTTCAGGTCGATGAATACTCTCGTTCATCTGTTGACTCTATTTGGGCTGTTGGAGATGTAACTGATAGGATCAATTTGACACCTGTAGCATTAATGGAAGGAGGGGCATTTGCAAAGACTGTGTTTGGAAATGAACCTATAAAGCCAGATTACAGGTGCATTTCCCCCACATGGCATTGTAATAGAGTTTTTTTTTTCTTGGTTCTGAAAGGAAACAATGACCAAAACTTATTAAATTCAACAGACCTAGGCTGCTAGACAAACTCATTTAGATAGTTCTCCTGCAAGCCTCTTGCCTTGTACTTTAGATTTGATTGGCTTTAATCCTTTTATGAACATCCTGAACAAAATAAAAAGGTTATGATGTTCTTGGTTTTAAAAAGCAGGCAAACACCAATACATAATAAATTCAACAGATCTGTTAACTTGAAAAACTCATTTACATAGTTTTCATGCAAACCGCTTGACTTTGTAGTTTGGATTTGATTGGCTTTATGAGTCATGGTATGCATATCATGACTGCTGACCAGGGTTTAACCGAACCCGCAATATATATATATGAAAGAAAGAATGAAAGAGAGAGAAAGAGAGAGAGAGATAGTCTTTTAGAAAAATAAAACCTCTTATCCTCGCACAAATTTGACCTTCCATCAGAAATTTTGAATCATTTATATTTAAAGCACTAAATGATGCCAAGCTTTCACTTCTTAACTTTTAGCTATTTTTAATGTCAACCATTTAAAATTTATGATGGATGATGAAATCATGAAAGATGTGTAAGTATAAGTTATTCTATCATTCTAAATGGATATATTAGTTTAACTCTCTCTATAAATGCATGTTTGTGAAATCTGTGCATCTTTTAAAATGTATACATATTCTTTCATTATTTTGAAAAGATACATGTATTTTTTTTATTTATACGTACTTATTGTAAGAGTATAATGCATAATTTTTTTGTTGAATTTCTCTTTCTTCCTTTTAATTGGAGGCATAGCTAAACTAGTTGTTCTAAACTTTCTTCCTGGTTTTTTTTTTCCGGAGTTTCAGCTAAAATCTTATATATGAGTGTGAGTTCTTTTTTTATTTTCTTTTACCAATTGCACTTATCAAAACGATAGGGCGGTCCCTTCAGCTGTCTTTTCTCAGCCGCCGATTGGTCAAGTTGGTCTTACTGAAGAGCAGGTGAGAATATCTGAACTTACTCCCTGTTCTATGCAAACCTTATTGTTGAATTTTCCTTTTAACAATTCCAAATGTTCCAGGCAATTCAAGACTATGGCGATGTTGACATCTTCACAGCAAACTTCAGACCTTTGAAGGCTACTATCTCTGGGCTACCTGATCGAGTACTCATGAAAATAATTGTTTGTGCTAAGTCAAACAGAGTTTTGGGTGTGCATATGTGCGGAGAAGACTCACCAGAGATTATTCAGGTGAACGATTTTGTACTGATTTTTTTCTGTAATCTTTCTGTTCTTACTGAGCATCTCGTCAGATAATTTGATTTCATTCAGGGAATTGCTATTGCTGTTAAAGCTGGATTGACTAAGGCGGATTTTGATGCCACAATTGGGATTCATCCTACATCTGCTGAAGAATTTGTCACAATGAGGACTCCAACCCGTGAAATTCGAAAGGCTCAGACTCCAGATGAGGTTTTTTTATGTGAAATTAGAAAATAAGAACTTATGTTCACATAGTTTTTAATATCTTTTAATATCATCCATCATGCTATCAGCAAAATAATAATATTTTTTAGAATGATTCTACAATAGCCTGTTTACTATAATTGCGCTTTTTGTTTCTCCCTTGTAGGAGAAGATCGGGCAGGTCAAATCTGCAGTAGATATTTAGTTCACAATGAGACAATAAGGTAATTCATGGTGCTGAAATTTTTAAGAGCGCTTTCATTATTTCCTTAATATTCGCTGCATATAATATTTATTTTGGGTTCATGCCTCTTGCTACTACTTATATAAATTTTATATAGGCTCAATTTTGCTAACTCATGAAGCCTTCACATATGTTAACAGGGGCGGATCCAGCTCCTTTTTTTAGGGTGGGCAAAACAAAATTTTTTTTTTAGGGATGGGCAAAGATGCTTAGGATTGATAAAATTAGGACAACAAAATTGTTTTAGAGGGGGCAAAATGTGCAAAATACCCAAAATATTCTAAAAAATTCCCTCTAAATATAAAAAAAAAAAATTTGAGGGTGGGCATTTGCCCACCCTTAGGCCAATGTGGATCCACCTATGCATATGTAAATTGATCATATTGATATTTATAAGCTCATCATAACAAGTAATTAACGTGTAAAACATTATTTGTTGAAGTCTTTAAAACATTGTAGTGCACCATACTTGTTTCTTGTGGTTGGATATGAACTTGCCAAATTAACCTTCATTATATTTAGAGACTTAAATGAGCTTGTTTGATTCTTTTAGAATTTCATCTGCATGTTATGCCTCTTTGTTGCATGTTAGCCTCTGTATGAGATGTATTCTCTCTTATCTTTGTTTAATATCCTCTTTTTTTTGCCAGCAATGTTAAAGACATGTAGATTTACAGCTTGTCATGGCTCTATCCATGGAATTGACGGTGGATAATCTTTTTGTGAGATTAATGGCCAAAATCATTTTGTGTGAGTTTGTGTACATTAATGAAGGAAATTTTAATCACTTATTCTTAATATTTTTTACATCTCAAACTATGTCATAGTTGGCCATGTAAGTCCCTAGGTAAACAATAAAAATATGGAATCAATAAAATATAAATTACAATTAAAATATTCCAAATTATGAGCCTTATTCTTAGCCTTAGCTATTGTAATCGGGCTTTTAGTTTCATTATCTTGCAGAGCCCTGCATTGGGTACCCATACCCACACCCACCCATGTACCCACCCATACCCAATGGGTATGGGTGGGTATGGGTACGCCCATGATCTTGTGGGTGGGTATGGGTGGGTACTCAATATTGGGGGATAAATTGATTTACATTTCTAATCATTATATATCTTATATTACTGCAATCCTCACTACGTAATGTACAGCACTTAACCACGTTGTGACTATAGTAAATTCTGATATGTGTCTTGAAAGTTTACAATCAAAGCAAAGGGCAACAAGCCTCAAGGATATCAATCCGTGGTAGACTGCGTTCAAAAAGTTTGGAAAGTGGGTGGGTATAGGTGGGTATGGTATCCCAAAAGTCAACATGGGTGGGCATGGGTGGGCGAAGCCCGTCCGAGTAATGCATGGGTACCCATTGGGTACCCAACCAGGACAACATGTAGGACTTTGTTATCTTGATCCACTTGATAGCTTGAACGTTGGGAGTCCTGTGAGTAGGGTTTTGGTACACACACAAACCCTACTCACAAGACTCCCAACATTCAAGCAGAAAAAGGTGAGAAACAAAAGAGAATGAAAGAAGAGAAGAGAGGAGAAAAGAGATAGAGAGATGTAATTCTAAAGAGAGAAGCTTAGGATTTTTATATTCAACATAGTATATCAATATTATGTATGTCTCCCACTCTTATTAAAAATTGACTCTTTGATTCTATATTTATAGGGTTTCAAGTACAACAGGAAAAGCTATACAAAAAATAAAGAAATATATCCAAATACGTGATATGTGTAGCCCAAAATATAAAGCTAAAAAAATATAAAAGTACACATTAACAATTGCACGTGGACAATTAGTAGTTAGAATGGTCGAAGTCACTGACAAATTGGGTAAAAATGCCAACTTGCTGGTGAAGTTGTTGATTGGCGGACTATAGTACGGGCGGGTGGATTTAGACTTAGGTTTGTAGGCCTATTGCAACCTTGGGCAAGAAATACTTTGGCATTTGACTAGTTCATAGGAAACTGGAAGAGTTCTTGAAAATTCTCTGGAGACTCTCTTGAGGGTCCTTAAAAAGTTTTGGAGAGACATTGGAGAGTCCTAGAGAGGGCATTTTGGTCTTTGATAAAGTGCACATTAGCCCTTGATAAGTGCTCCTTTGCCTTTGAGGAGTGCACCTTGGCCTTTGATGAGTGCACTTTAGCCCTGATGATGAGTGTACCCTGGCCTCTGGCGAGTGCACGTGGACTTTGGCAAGTGCGTCATAGTCTTTTGTATGTTTGATTATTTATTTGGCTTCTTAATTCTCTTGTATCTTTAGAGAGTGGCTTGGAAAAAGAACAAGATAATTAGAAACATGTTATCGTAATGATAATACAAGAATTCTAATAAATTTATTGTTTTGGAAAAATTTGGTGGCTTGCGAGAAGATTTTGGAAAAGCACCAAAACAAGAACTTCTACAGCTTGTTGGCTAACTAGTCTTTAGAGGGGAAGTATGATGGGGCAAATTTGACTAATGCCTAAAGTCGATTTTATTTTTTGTTTCTTCCATCTGGTTTATAAGATATGACAAATATTTTGTGCTTGATCGAAAGAAAATTTTTTTGGCTTGCTTGTTTTAATTTATTTCCATATTTCTAAAATTGATATGCTATTGAGCCTAGTAATATACTCTCAAAGCCATTAAGCTAAAAGATCACATTAAATGTTTGTTTGCGTGAATAATGATATTCCTCACAAGTCTTACTCAACCTTTTCTCTTTTTTTGTGCCTTTATATAAATTGCCATCTTAGGACCTCCTCTTTTATCATATTTCTTGTGTTCATGGGATAACCAGATATGCCGACTAGAATATGTTTGCACGCTACTCGATGTGGATCTTATCGCCAAAGGGGATGTCAGATCCTATGATCAGCCTTTTCTATTTCAAAGAGATACAGGAGTTAAGACACAATGTTTGAGGTTTGACGAGTGAATATGATTATTCTTTGAGTGCTTTGAGATTATTCCTTAAAAGCAAGAGGTGAGTAAGCGCTTGAACATAAAGGGTTAGTTATGACAACATTGTACAAATGTTTTTTAAGAAAATAAGTGATTCTTATCTTTTAGTTGTATTTAAAATATCTTCTCCTTAGAGGGTAGAATCAAGATAAAAATAAAAAAAGGCAACTTCGCTAAGCGTAATCTGTTCATCCACTTGAGGGCTTTAACTCTCCTGCAAAGAATAGTTTCAGCACATTCATGTTTGACCATAAGTTGAGATCACTCTAATCGCTAAACCCAAGTTTGTTTAGCTTGTTTATAGTTAGCCAAGTACCATCTTTTTTTGGAAATAAGTGTCTCCAATATTGATCTAAGTTAACAATGTGTTAATTCTCTAACTTAAAGTTGACCAACTTCATGTTTAAAGTTGATTCTTGAGTTTTTAGATTAATATATATTTTTTCTTAAGTTTCATTCATCTTTTCACTAAGAAAGAAGCTTATTAAATTAAAAAAATATATATTCTAAGAGAGGAACAAGTTCACTAAGTTCTCAGAGTTTGATTAAGCTGAGTGGTTTGACTCTCACTTGGATGACTTCAACTCTTGGATGAGTAAACTCTTCTTTTGATTGGACTAGTTGAGCTCTTCTTTGGATGACTTAAATTGTTTTACTGGTTGATTTTTTTTATTTTTATTTTTTTTTTACTAGTTGAATTCTATTTTGATGACTTCAATTTTAGGGTGAGTTGAACTCCCCCTTTGGATGACTTCAATTTTTGAATGAGTTGAACTATTTCTCAGATGACTTTAATTGAACTATTTCTTTTATAACTTCAACTATTGCATGAGTTGAACTCTTTTTTGGGTGACTTCAACTGTTGGATGAGTTAAAGTCTCGTTTGGGTGACTTCAACTGTTGGTGAGTTGAAATGGGGGATTATTTTCCTGAGTTTTTATCAAATTCCAAGGGCGAGTTTTCCACTTTTCCGAGTATTTGAAAATCTCATAAACAAGATAACTGTTAGTGACAAATTTCTAGTTCTTCGCATTTGAAGATCCTTCTCTATTTCATTGTTATGTTTCTCATAGTTCCTGGTTTTTGGTTTTTCACATAAATTCATGCTCGCCGCATCTTTCAAGATGTTCGATCTAAATTGATTCATAGGCGATACCTGAAACATACTTGCTAGACCCACAAGGTTCAAGCAAAGGAAAGAGACAAAGAAATAAACAGAAAGAAGAGAAGAGGTGAGAGAGAGATAGAGAGAGAAATTTTCGTGAAAGCTCTTTGGATTATATATTCAACTCATATTATTGCATATCGTCCCCTCTCTTAAAAAATGGTCATTTGATCCTACATTTATATGCTTTCAAGCACTATAAGAAAAGCTATAAAAAAGAAGGAAATATATTCCATTCCATTGGGGTTCACCATAAAATTATGTAATCAAAAAAATATAAAGATACACGTGGACAATCTCGAATCAAGGTCTGTTTGGTCGAAAACGCTGACTTGCTAGGTGAGTTGCTGATTGGCGGAGTATAATATGGGCAGGTGATTACTGGCTTAGGCAAGTAGGAGGCCTAGTAGAGCGTTAAGCAGGCTAACGAGTTCACTGTGACCTGAAGAGTTCATAGTAAACTTGGAGAGTTCCAGGAGGTGCCTCTTGGCCTTTGATGTGCACACATTGACCTTTAACAAGTTCACCTTGGCCTCCAATGAGTGCACCTAGGTCTTTGGGGGGTGCATACTGATCTTATATATGAGAACCTTGGCTGCGTAAGATTGTGCCAAACGCGAACCGCGCCGAGCTCACCGGAGTTCATTTTCTGCCGCCACTAGGTGGCACTGGGGAAACACAGCCCGGCCGCCCCCTCTCGGGAAACGGGGGTCCCACTTGCTGCAGAGGGGGCCCACAAGCACCCGGCCCACCTCTTATTCTGTAAAACCGACCTCTTTTTCGCCAGCGTTGATGCAGTGTGCGCGTAGTTAAGAGAAGCAAAATCCAAGTGGGGGAAAGTGTGGGCCGGTGCCTTTTTACGGCCTCAACTCCTCTCGAACTTTTAGTCGAGCTATCGTATAGATTGCACAATGTTACTAATAGCCGTCAAAGTGATGATGAGTGGTTAGAAGCAACAGTAGTTGAGATCTTTTTCTTACTAGATCAACATCAGGCTTCCAAATAACATATTTAAACTGAAGATTTGAAGTTTTTTCTTCTGAAATTGAATATTTCCATGCAATTTTCTATAACTTACAGCACATTTCATTTATAATTCTACAGGCATTAATGTTGTAAAGAGAACCTTGAAGACAAGCCTTAGCCATCACTAACCTACTCTGTAGAGACCGTTCTCCACATTGGCTTCAAGGCTTAAAGCAGACCCATTCTATAACGCTATTTCGTTCGTAATGGCTTCAGAACATCGCTGAAAAAAAAAAACATTTTGAAGGGAAGAAAATTCAGAACTTCTACAGAGAAGGAAATCCTACATAGAGGCCTTTACAGGTACCAAACTTTGGCAAGAAGAACAAGTACAGTTCATTTATATGTTTCCAGTATTGTAACTTTCTTTAGTGAATGGTTCTCTGCGTTGATGCAATGAGTTCTATAGAACATTGCTTAGTAAATTGTCTGTAATTTTATGCTTATTTGTTCTTGTGGAAAAGGACTTGCATTGAAGCAATAAACTGTAAATATTTTGTTTTTTGTTGAGATACAGTAGAAGAGATTTGTTCATTCTCTATGCTATATTTTAGAAGCTTTGAAAATAATAATTTGTTGCTTTTTTTAATATTAGAAGTATAAAAAATGAGTGATCAGCTCATGATTTCTGTTTGGAACATTGTAAATTAGCATTTTTTTTAATAAGTTATATAGGAATTGCCATGAATGAAATTCTACAAGTTTGTAGCAAATTTATGTAATTATATATCTAATATTTAAATTTTAATTTTGATTTATATAATATTTAAATATTTAAGTCGTATTAAAAATATCAATGATATTATTTTAGGCATTGAGTTAATGCTACTAATGGGATTACAAACTCCAAAGCTTTAACCTCTAGCATCTCTGCTCAAAATGAACAACAAAATTTCTCAAGAATTCTCCTAGCCAAGAATTCTCTAAGCTCTTACCTCATCTTTAGCAATATATGAGAATTTTTTAGAGATTTTTGAGCACTTGAGAATTAGGCTACATATTAATTTTAACTCAACAAAGTAGATGATACTTCCAAGCAAACAATAAGTGCCTAATTAACTAGAATAAATCAAGCTATAGAGAAAAATAGAAGATAAAGAAAGAAGTGTTAAAGAGAAAATTTAGAGCAAAGTTATAGGATTTCATTATATTGTCAAAAAAGTGCAAGAATGTAGCAAATGATTGGGTTCCTCTTAAGCTCACATTTTGACCTTCTATTTATAATTGTATTCAAGGCAAACTGTTATAAAAATACCTACATAATTAAAATAATATTAAAATCTTTAATAAATAAAGATCATTAAATAATATGATAACCCTAAACTTTTTAAGAAAAAAAGTTATACTCGGTGATGTGCTCTGCTAGTGTTTCAATCCGTCGCTGTGTTCGTGGCCTCACGCCTCTGATCACCACAGGAAAGTTTCGTGCAATAAATCCTTGGGTTTTCCGTAATTTTTTGCAGCTTTTTTTTTTGTTGCATTGTCGTCATTTTGATGGAGGGATAACGGCTTAAGGATCCCGATTTTTTGGTGGGTAATCCCTATTCTAGATCCTTTCGTGATGCTTTATCGGGTAGTTCTTCTTCCTCTTCTCTTTTCCCGGAATTCAAAATCTCTTCCTTTCATGGGATGCCTTAATTGTGAATTTCCAATGAGGAAGTCTTGGCACTCACAGCTCTGTTTGAGTTCGCTTTAGTGGGCAAATTTCTTTCTCGTAGACCTTCACTTGAGGCTATTCGCAAAATTTTTTTTAACCCTAAGCTAAATGATGAATTTTTGGTCACTGTTCTTAACCCTAAGCATGTTCTGATCAAACTTGTGAACGACTTGGATTACTTTAGTGTTTTTTTTTTCACTGTTCCTATTTTGTGAACAATTGCTTCATGAAGGTTTTCAAGTGGACTCTTACCTTTGATATTGAAATTGAATCGCCAATTATTCCTATATGGGTTTATTTCGGATGCTGGTATGATTAACTTAGCTCTAGATTTGGATAATGTGGCTCCTTCTGTTTCTAACAATTTAGTTTTGGAGCGTGGGTCTACTAATGTAGTTGACGAAAATGAAGTTGTGGTTAATGTTGGCTATGTTGTTTCCAAGGATTTGGAGCAGGATCTATGTCCCTCTATTGTCGCCAAAAAGAGTAAAACTACTCAAATATTATTCATCTTCCAAATCTCTTCTAATACAATCAATGTCTACCTATTTATAGACAATAGTGGCAATATAATAGGCTACACCAAATATAAACAAGAAGTAATCCTATGTAGCCATACAAATACCAACTGGAATGAAACTATCTTGAAGTTAATAAAATTAACGGCTCAGCTCCGGCGTCATACTACCGTGATAAGAGGAACCTCAGGCTCATAAGAAGATGTCCGGTTGGCCACCATAAGGAGATGGGTTTGGTTGGTTAAATAAGTTTGGATAGATCCACCCGATGTCAATTTGTCTACCAATCTTAGACATATCAAGCTTAGCCCAAGTAGAAGGATCATTTGTGATTGTGAGATTATTGGGAATCATTTGTGTTTCTTTAAGCATCCTAGAGAAGTAGATCCTAGCTTCAATATTTAACCCATTGGAGAGATCTTAACTTGCAATTTTTTTGTCAGTGATGACGATTAAGTTTGTTGCCATATTGTGAACACTAGGAGTGAATAGTTCATGATGGACATTCGACTCGCTCTTATCATCATCATACAAAGGCTTATCATCATCAAGAACTCCCAAGAACATGACGTCATCATCATACAGGTCATACATGGGTCATAAAAGACAGGCCAAGACGACGAGTTCGACAACGGATCTTCAAATTCTTCGAAGCTGAACTCGATCGAGGTTGGGGTGGAAGAGATTTGATCATATGAAATGCCCTCATCGTTGTAGTCAATTCATAAGGATTTAATTCGAGCAGAGGATTTATAAGCCACCAACGAAACATATTTATGCTGTGGTTGGATGCCATCAAAGTCCCGGGCAAGAGAACTCACGCCTTTCCTCCATTCGAGCCTTGATAATCGCTGCTGGATTTGAATAATTTCTTGTTGAAGGTCTTCAATTTCTGCTTGCTGCAACGTTCGTCTATGAGGCATCTTGCTTCTAATATTCACGAATCTATTCAAGATAGCAAGTTCACTTACTTGGCCGGCATAATCAACGACTGCACAATTGAGGGGTATACAGAGATGGTCTGAATGCGAGATCTCAGCAAGGAGGGCGGCAATGTCAAAACATTGAAGTAGGGAAATCGTTGAGCACTTATTACTTGTCTTGTTGTCTTTCTGCTTTGACCCGCACAACACCAGATTGTGGTCAACACGCTTCTGCTCAGCCTGCACCTGAACAAGAACCACCTGTCGGTTATTCTCCCCGGAGCCACGTCGACCAAGCCCCGTCCGAAGCCTTTTTTGTCTTCGCAGCTGCTCTAGCTTCAAGACAACATGTGTTTCCTCCTAGGAGGACTCCAAGATAGCAGCCCTTAACTCGAAATCAAACACCTCGATGGCCACAATTATATAATGCCTTTGTTGGCAGAAAGATTCAATAATTAATCAACTTTTTGTTGAAGATAGTTGGTTAGCAACCCTCAGCAGGTTGGAAAAATAAATTGGTAGTAGGCGCCTTGCATTGTGGAGTCAGCAGAATGGCTTCTTGCTATGTACCGCAATTCCACAAGGTTCCGGAAACACACACAAAAATCGATCCTAATTTTAAGAAATGACACCTGACAATTACCATCTTACTACCTTGCTGCTTCATCTCGCGATCAACTCATGCTTTCTTGCTTTCACGTGCAGGTCTACGATGCCTAGTAGGAGTAGGCAACACACTTCCGGCAAATCACAAACTAACCACCTTATGACGGCCAAATGACTCCGATCTCGTACTTAGAGTAGCAACATCCTTCACGAACCACTGAGAAATCTCTGTTTGAGCACCGATTACTCCCACCTGCTTCGCCTAACATTCTTGGCTCTCTTTACCACCTGTTTTCATAAAACAGGATATAGAAAACATATACAAGAGAGCCCACCGGCTCTGATACCAAATGACACCACACCGGAGGGTGCTCGACGAATCCACGTCGACGATCCGGTGACCGTGACCAAGAACTCCTTCTTGGGAGAGGGATCATCACATGAAATCCTTCATGATACAGAAACCCAAAAAGAGTAAAACTACTCAAATATTATTCATCTTCCAAATCTCATCTAATACAATCAATGTCTACCTATTTATAGACAATAGTGGCAATATAATAGGCTACACCAAATATAAACACGAAGTAATCCTATGTAGCCATACAACTACCAACTGGAATGAAACTATTCTGAAGTTAATACAATTAACGGCTTAGCTCCGGCGTAGCTGGTCTTTGAATAACTCTATTTTTGAATCAATCTGATTGGTTGGATATGAATGAGTCTATTTTTCACCTTTGATTCGGGATATACGCGGCGTTCGCCCCTCCTAATCAAAGCAAAATCAATCCCAGGGGGATTCGATTTGACCTCTTCCACACAGGTTAACGTCGTCGAGCAAAGGCTCCGGCATACAACCTCGGAAAGGTCCTACATCCTTGGGGGATTCTCTCGATCTCTTCCACACAGGTTAACGTCGTCGAGCAAAGGCTCCGACATACAACCTCGGAAAGGTCTTACATCCTTGGTGGATTCTCCCGGCCTCTTCCACACAGGTTAACGTCGTCGAGCAAAGGCTCCGACATACAACTTCGGAAAGGTCTTACATCCTTGGTGGATTCTCCCGGCCTCTTCCACACAGGTTAACGTCGTCGAGCAAAGGCTCCGGCATACAACCTCGGAAAGGTCCTACATCCTTGGTGGATTCTCCCGGCCTCTTCCACACAGGTTAACGTCGTCGAGCAAAGGCTCCGACATACAACCTTGGAAAGGTCCTACATCCTTGGTGGATTCTCCCGGCCTCTTCCACACAGGTTAACGTCGTCGAGCAAAGGCTCTGACATACAACCTCGGAAAGGTCCTACATCCTTGGGGATTTGATTTGACCTCTTCCACACAGGTTAACGTCATCGAGCAAAGGCTCCGACATACAACATCGAAAAGGTCTCACATCCTTGGTGGATTCTCTTGACCTCTTTCACACAGGTTAACGTTGTCGAACAAATGTTCCTACATACAACGTCGGAAAGGTCCTACATCCTTGGTGGATTCACTCGACCTCTTCCACACAGGTTAACGTCATCGAGCAAAGGCTCCGACATACAACCTCGGAAAGGTCTCACATCCTTGGTGGATTCTCCCGACCTCTTCCACACAGGTTAACGTCATCGAGCAAAGGCTCCGACATACAACCTCGGAAAGGTCCTACATCCTTAGTGGATTCTCCCGACCTCTTCCACACAGGTTAACGTCATCGAGCAAAGGCTCCGACATACAACCTCAGAAAGGTCTCACATCCTTGGTGGATTCTCCCGACCTCTTCCACACAGGTTAACGTCGTCGAGCAAAGGCTCCGACATACAACCTCGGAAAGGTCTTACATCCTTGGTGGATTCTCTC